CTTCCTTTCAGAACTTTATGGAAATGCGTATGCCAGTTGCACTTACGTCTGTCCAGTGCACTTGCATCTAAATGTGCAGGAAAAGGTACAAAAGCAGTCTGGCAGCATATAAAAGCAATGCATCCGGTCATCGGTTGAATCCGTATAGCTTTAATAGGACTGTCGAATAGAAGCCTAGCTGCAATTTTCCTTTGATGGTGTTCAAAATTGTATCAATCCAAAATGTAAAGGCTATGTAGGTATTTGTACTTTTCCTTTTTAGTTGTGTACCTGTCCCACGTTTTGTTTAAATGTGCTATGCGTTTTGAGTGTGCACTTTGCAGAATACACACGCTTCTTACGGCAAAACACTCATGTGTGGTTCTGCAGGCATATAACATTCCTTGCATTTCTTTGCATTCCAATTTCCTCGCCTGGTTAACTTTGATGACCAACCTGGGGTTCAGAATCAACGGTCACAGTCTGGAACTCAAGCGATTCACGACCTTCTCGGGTTTGAACGACTGAAGTTGGCCATCAACTCTGGTCATCTCTTCTTCCGTGCAATGCAACTTTCTGGCTAGTGCATTATAAACGCTTTCGGATGTTTTGAGTCGTATCGTTGCCATTTATATCACTGTTTTTCTATTTTCACCGTTTTTCTATCGTCGTAACGTGGTAGTTTCGTCACTATTAGTTAGTTGCTACGTCCAGAAATTCGGTGTTTCACATTATTCTTATAGGTTTATAGGTTTTGTAGGCATTAACTCTAATTAGCATCTACAAATTCGTGACCCCATTTTTGTCATTTTGGTCCACGCATATCTTTTAGCACTTCGTTTTCTTCTATATTTTACGCCTTTCATTATGGGCAACGACAACCAGACTCCTAACAACGGCGATCACGCTCAAAACAACTAAACCGAATTAGACGATATCGGGCATGTCAATGGCGTTAGCGTCCCTATTAAATTGCCAGCGTATAGAGCTCATGATTCTAATGTTTAGTTTTGCAAAGCCGAGACTGTTTTCACCACACGTCATATTACTAATTAGCTGACTTACTACTCTTACGGGGTGCAGTCATTGCCGTTTGATGTTGCATGTGCAGTTTAGGATCTTCGCAAAAGAAAAGCCGTATTCACAACTTAAAACGATCAACCTCCAAAGTACTGCTCAATCTGCTGACAGTAAGCTACACGAGCTCTTCTACTTAGTCGAGCTCGGTTACCAAACACCATCTGCTCTAACGCACCACATGCGTTACTTACTTGCCGGTTGTACTCTGGATGACGCTATATTCCGTCGTAATTGTCTGGACAAGCTTCCATCCCCCATGCAGCAGGTGCTAGCTCTGCTTGACGGGAACACGCCTCTACAGCTCTAACCAAGGGTTTTTATGGCACCGATTTTTTCTTCAATAGAGAAAGAAAGAAATTATACTTTTGCACGGAACGCATTGGCAAGCGAGGATTATTCAATGCACTTTTAAGGCTGACAATTTTATCATATAGTATCTTAATGGAGTTAGATTTTTTCGCACATCCGAACAGTAGAGTACATAATTTTACGTTTCTCATGTGTTGATGCACAAGGCAGTCGGCATAAAAGGTGACATTTCGTAATAAGGTTGTGGAAAACCCATAACATTATTGAAACATCTTCTTGTCTAGACACAAGCACTTTCAGGGAAAACAACTTGTTGCTCCATTTGTTTCGTCACAAATAACTAAATCACTGCGTTTGCCTTACCCATATTAAGAAGTAGGCCTTTGGCTTATTTGCTGTGAATATATCATCCAGTTATACTTGGGAATGTGTTTATTTTTAATCACAAATGAGCCAGTTTTTCTAAGCCACACAGCTTCAACCTAGTGAAAAGCCCTTTTTCTTATCGAAAATTTGTCCACACACCTGTGCAGTCTAGCATTTTATGACATGTGGATTCAGATACATGTCCGTATATAAAATTTTTTGCTCTATCAGATTGTAACTTTGTACTTAGTAACTCGCGCGCCTGCCAAAAATATGTTGATACCGGGTTGATTTTAACAATAGTAAAACAGAATTTTGGACTCACAATAGAGAACGCATGTCACATTGCACATCATTTCCTGACAAGTCATTGCGTTTGTTGATGTTGAGAGAACTATATCCGGCCAATGTCTAGGGAGCTTGGTGTTTCATATTAGTTATTTGTCAACATGCAACTTTTCGTACGTTATTAATATTATGGAACGATTGCCTGTCGCCTTTATCTTCTCCTGTTTACGACCAAATAACCCCAAATTTATTTATTTGCACACAGTTACATAATTATTTGACAAAATTGCTTGTGATTCGTCCCAAGCGGCAGAGTTAAAACCGACTTGCAACGGTACCAATCTACAACGGACTCTCAGGGCGACTGCACATGAACATTTTCTTTAGCCAAAGGAGATTACTACCGCCTCAGCGGCTGCTATCCAAGTGACAGCTGTCTTGAGTTGAAACTTAACGGTCAGCGTCTAATTGCAAATAGGTTTCATGACGAAAATTTGATCTCAGGTAAAACGCTACAACTGGCACATAATGTAGTGGGTAGCCGCAGTCTCGATGTCTGCTGAGGTTTACATTAAATAACGATATGAAGGTAGGTTACCTGAAAAATTTCGCGGCGCGCGCTTTGCTTCAAGTGCGCGAGGACAGCAAAACAAACACCAATACAGCCCGAACGACTATTTCGTATAGTCAAGTCACGCGAGTATTCATGGTGATGTCAATTACACGTTTCAGAAGATAAATCTGAGGATAGCAAATAGAATAAAAATGAGTGACAACGCCTGTGTATAATTAAATACAGTTTTTAAGAGGGTATTGGATCGATACCTTCTGGAAAGGTGTTCCTCTGCTTAATTATTTTCATAATTTTTCGGACAAAATGAAAATTAAAGTAAGAGAATATGCACGGATGTTACACAATAAACTATCCTAGTACAGTTAGTGCAAAATTATATGGCCGCAAGAACGCATTGGTACTTTAAAACAAGCTTTCTTACATTCTATGTTTCTGTTACTGCATTTTGTGCAAAAAAACTTCACAGGATAGCTAAGCATAATTTTTAAAATACGAATCTCCAATGTACTGCAAATAAATGTGATTCCTTCAAGTTGGCTTCACTTGAATCTGAACAATTTTGGACAAACTTTTCCAGTTCTGGAAGGGATATCTTCTAGACCTATTTTACTTATTCTGGAGTTACTTTATATTATAATCAACATTAATGTGCAGTTTGGTTCTGTCTTTCGTAATAGCATAGGAAATTCCTTCGATATGAGACTACTCCTAATTCCCCCAAAATTAATGGCCATTTCTCTTAATAAACCTAAGTAAAATGATGATTTTCCTAACTAAAAGGCTTTCGCAGAATTCAATCAACTGAATGAATCAAAGTAGCGTTACTAAATATACGCTAAAGTACCTGGTCAAATTTCATCATGAAAGTTGCATGGTCTTCGGCGACTACTGTATATATATATATGTATATATATATTGCTAATAGAAGCGAAAATGCGTGTTCCCGGACATAATT